TCTGGCCCCATATTCGGCTTTTAAAAAACCTATGTGTGTATTGTCTACAGCCTGGGCAGATCTGTCAGGGAGGTGTTGGGTGGGAAATGGAAAAGATGGAAGGGAGAGGGAGAGGCTGACACAGCCAGCTGGAGGGGCAGGCAGGGGAGGGGAGCCGTGGGAGTCATCAGGGAGCCCACCACGCTACCTTCCTCCTGAAGCCTTCTGGGGTTGCTGCCCTGGCTGCGGCCACGGCTTTAAGGACCCCCCTGGTCATTTTTCTTTGTCCCGGATCTGTTGCTACCAACCGTGAGGATTCCTAATGGTCCCCTTGGCTGTGTCCTGTGCATGGAATGAGGACCTCTCCCCTTTATCCTGCACGACAGGGCTCTATGCCACCTGGTTTCTCAGGCCCGCCCACCCCCAGGCCCCATCCTGGGGCGGTACTTACCGGTGACCAGGGTGAAGTGGCAGGGGCTGGTCATGGTGACAAAGGCGGGGGTCATGTAGCGTGCCTTCACCCCGTCTCGGGCCATGGCATCCAGGTTGGGGGTGTCCACGTCCTGGTCATAGTTCCAGCGGAAGCCGTCGAAGGACACCAGAAGCAGCTTGTTCCGGGAGCCCTGACTTTGTACCGGTGCCCCGGCCCCGGGAGCCAGGAGCGCGGCCAGAGCCACAGTGAGGAGGATGGCTGGGCCTCTCATGCTGGGCCTTCCAGATGGACAGGCACACAGGGTGCATAGGACCGGCTCCTGCCGAGGAGGGCAAAGTCCCAGGGTCACCCGGGCTGATCTCATCCCGTGCGTCTTTGGAATGTGGCTGTGCACATCCCTGGGTCGTACCTCGGGAGTGGGCTCCCCAGCCGGGTCAGTGCCACCCCTGATCCCAGCCTCACGTGCGTGGGGTGGCATCAACTTGAGCATCTGCCTTTATTGCCAGCCGCGCCCTTGGGGCTCCAGGCTCCTCCCTCCCTCCCCAGAGTGTGGACAGTGACCCAGGGCTCAGAGCACAGCAGGAGCCCGTTCCACCAGGAAAGTCGTGCCCTCTCCCTCCCCCATAGCAGCCGGTGGTCCCTCTGTCCCAGCTCACCCTGACCCCAGGGGACCCAGGTGAGGGCGGGGTGGAACCCCCCTCCAGGCCTCTAGCGGTGCATGGGCCTCAGGTCTGCCTGGGTGAGGGCCTGTGGGGCAGGCTTCCCATGGTCAGGGCCAGGACCAAGCCTGGGTCACAGCATGGCCTTTTCCGGGGGGAACCCCAGGCTGGGTGCCTCTTCTTCTCCTCTTGCTCCTGTTAAGGGGCTCCTGGAGCTTGGTTAGCAGACCCGAAACCCGATGGCTCCAGAGCAGCGTCCTGCGTGCCTTCCTTCTTGGGGTGCTTCCTTCTTGGGAATTTCAGAGGGGGCCTGGGGCTCCGGCGTTCTTGCTTGATGGGCTTTTTGACAAGGGGTCAGAAGAGGGGGACTCCCTTGTTACCATGGGCACATGAGAGGTGGGAGAGGAACCCCTGGATTCAGCATGCAGTTCTCCCTCCCTCCCTCTCTGCCATCTCTCCTTCCCCTTTCTCTTATTCTCTCTCTCTCTATCTCTCTCCCTCTTTCCTTCTCTGTATGTCTCTGTCTCAGCACCTATTAAGCACGTTCTGTGTGCCAGGCATGGTTCTAGGTTCTGGGGACACAGAAGTGAATGAGACAGACAATGATCCTGGTGGCCTCCATTCGAGTTGGGGACACAGAAAATAAAATGAACAAAGAAGAAAAAAAAAGATAGTTTCCCAAAAGAAAGGAAGGCAGGAAGCCGTGATGGAGAGGCTGGTGGAGTGGGTGGGGCGGCACTCAGTGGTGGCTGGTTGGGTTTCGCTGAGAGGATGGTGGAGGTCAGTGACTCTGGGGGACCATGAGCCAGGGGAGCGGGCATGGGGCAGGTGGCAGGGGCGGCAGGGCCGGTCCCGTGGGGCAGGTGACGGTGATTCTCATGCCAGGCAGTGGAAGCCAGGGGTGGGTTTTAAGCAAGAGAGTGACATGAACTGATCTAATGCTAAAAAAGCACTCTCCATTTGTGGGTGAAGGTTGGACCAGAATGAGAGCAGAATGAACACTGGGTGCTCCCTGGAGAGGTGACTGCCTGTGTCGGAACAGGAGCTATTGGTGGCCCGGACCAGGGTGGTGGCTGTGGAATGGGGCTGGGTTTGAGGTGGATCCTGGAGGTTTTGCTGAGAGGTGGTGCATTGGATTGCATGGTGGGAGGTGGTGCACTGGATTGCATGGTGGGAAGACGGAAGTGCGTGGCTGGGGGTATTGTCACAATTTCAATCTGGAGCCACACACCTGCCAACAGTGGCCCCAGCCTTCCTTAAGACCTTTGCCTGGCTGCGGCAAGCAGACGCCGTCTCAAAGCGATGGCCGTGGCACTCAGATGACACCGCAGACGCTGTCCACAGCCTCCCCAGGCCAGCCAGCCTTTCTTGACCCAGGTGGGCAGGGACCACTGGTACGGATCCCCGGCCGCCCCTGCCTGGCCGACTGGAATACACTCTGAAGGAGGACTCCGTGCCAGTGACCTTCCTTCTTCATGCTTCTGTGCACCAAAGGCTGAAAACCAGGATGGAGTGACTGCCCGGTGCCTACAACCACCACGTAGGGTGCCTCCTCTGCAGGGCTGGGGCTCAGGGCGCCCAGAGGTTGTGGCTCCTCCCTGGGGAGCACAGACCTTGGGGAGGGTAAGAATCCCTGTGTGTCAGGGACACAGGTTGCGATGCACGCACAGGGGGAGTGCAGGCGGCTTCAGGAGAGGAGATCAGGCTTTGCTGGCACCAGCGTTGGGGGAGGCCCACAGGATGCATGGAGCCAGGAGAGAGGGCAGGAAGGCTTCAGGCAGAGGGACCAGGCATGGAGGACGGGAGGCACCCGGGCTCCCGAGGGGGTCGACCAGGAGCCTGTAGGCCATGGCGGAGTCTGGATTTTCCGCTGTGAGAGAGCTGGTTAGTTGTCCCCTAATATCTGTTCTCTCCCTTTTCCGTGATAAGATGGCTGCCAAGAAGAAAGACTACATTTCCCAGCATTCCTTGCAGCAAGGCATGCCCATGTGACCACATTTTGGCCAATGGGGCAAAAGGAGAATGTCCTGTACATTCTCCAGAAGCTAGCTTTGCTTCTCTTCTTTTTTGATTTTTCCTCCATCTGATGCCTCCGGCTGGCAAGCTACCCTGAGCCGCCTGATGAGGGGCTCCCTGGGGATGGCCGGGGTGCGCAGAACGGGCCTGGTCCCCAGCGTCCTGTGTAGTAGCTCAGCTCCAGGCTGCATTCTCACAGGGAGAATACAACACACTCTGCCTCGTTGCCCTTTCCATTATTTTGGTTTTCTGTCACTCTCAGCGGGACCTAGTTCAAGCTGATAATAGAATTCCAGGCCTGGAGGGCATTGCTAGGTTCAAGCAAGAGCTGGCTGTGGGGTGGGGTTCCAGAGGGCCGCCAGGGAGGCAGGGCCTGAGTGAGGGGCTGAGGCCGTGGTCCAGGGGCCTGGCCAGGCCTCTGCTGGGGTGCATTTGGGGTGTGCTTGGGGCCGGCGCAGATCTTGGTGGCTTGCAGGTCTGGGTCCATGGTTCTGCAGGTTCTCTTGTTGGTCCCCGGGGTTGTGCAAATTCCTGGTCCTGTTCACCCTCTTACTGCCTGGGCCTGGTCTGGAGATGGCGTGAAAGGTCTGCTCCTGCTCCTCTCAGGACATCCCAGCCATGCTGGGGTAACTCTTCCTCTGGTTTTTGGCTCTGTACCTCAATCCTGCTTTGCTGGGGAGCTCCTTGGGTCACCCCACATAGGTTTCCGTTTTCTCCCCGATTTCATAGAGCACTTGGATGGAATGGGTGTGCGGTGGTTGATTTTGGATGGAAAGGGTGTGCGGTGGTTGATTTTGGATGGAAAGGGTGTGCGGTGGTTGATTTTGGATGGAAAGGGTGTGCGGTGGTTGATTGTAGCTCATGGCTACAGGACATTTCCCACAGTCCAGGCACTGGGAAATAGCCACGATCTCACTGAAGCTTGGAGGTAGTTCTTGAGGCAGGAACTAGTATAATCCTCAGTTTACGGGTAGGGAACTGAGGCAGAGAGAGGTTAAAGTCACTTGGTAACTGGAGGAGCTGAGCTGGAACCCAAGCGTTCTGGCTCCCGATCCCCAGCATTCAGCTTCAACTGCTTCAAGAGGCAGCAATTTACCAACCTTTGTTCACTTGGGATCCTGTTGTCAGGTTTTGGGGCTACTGACAACATTTTCTTTAAAAAATGGTGCAGTCCAGCCTGGTCAACGTGGTGAAAACCCATCTCTACTAAAAATACAAAAATTAACTGGGCGTGCTGGTGCGCACCTGTAATCCCAGCTACTTGGGAGGCTGAGGCGTGAGGATTTCTTGAATCTGGGAGGTGGAGGTTGCAGTGAGCCGAGATCACACTACTGCACTCTAGCCTGGGCAACAGAGTGAGACTCTGTCTCAAAAAACAGAACAAAACAAAAATAGTGCAGCTGAGTATCTTGACACCACTGACTTTTCCTTTTCTTTGTTTTTTAACCTTTGCCTTCTTTCCTCGGGATACAGTGCTTAGAGAAAGGTTATTGGACAAAGGATAGAAAAGCTACTTGGTTTGTATGATCAGATGGCTGTCGGGTGACAGACCCTCTTCTCGACCTAACTCTACTCCACTAAGCCTTTGAGGCGCTGACCTTGGGCTCTGTCCTCGGCTTGTTTAGTTCAGGTTTAGCAAGAGTCCTGCTGGGTCAGTTTAGTGAAAATCCTATGTGATCACCCTCAATATTTGATCAAATTCCTCATCCTCCACTCTCGATATCTTGTTACCCTGGCCTGCTTTCAGCAAGATTCCTGCTGAGTTGGTCGAGCAAGCATCCCCTCTCCTCAGTGTCTCCTCTTAGTCATTTTCCACCCAGCCGGCACCCTTGCTACTGGACTGCACATCCTGCTTGTCCTTGGTAGAGTGAGACTGAGCCCAATCTCGCTCTCACACAGCAAAGCCCCATGGTGGTAACCCCCCTGGAATAAGGTCTTCCTACCTGTCTTTAGCAAGACAAGAGTCATGAATACTTTTTTCTTTATTTTAAAAATTATTACTATTATTATGATTTTTTTGAGACGGAGTCTCACTCTTTTGCCTGGGCTGGAGTGCAGTGGCGTGATCTCAGCTCACTGCCACCATGCCTGGCTAACTGTTGTATTTTTAGTAG